CCCCCATCCCCTCAGCTCTGCCTCCACAAACCCCCCAGCTCCCTCCGTGTCCGTGATTCCCCCGTGCCTGATGTCCTAGCACCCTTCCCCCGGCACACCCTCGCTTTTTCCTCCTGACCGCCCAGCAACCCCCCCGCGTCTATTTGGGGTCTTCATGAGCGCCTCAACATCCTCACCCGCACTGTGCCCGTCTACCGCCTGTCCTTGTCTACCTTCAACCCACCACCTCTGGAATTTTCCCTCAGCATTCCTCACTGCTCAGCATAGCTCGTACAACATCCGAAGCTCCCTCACACGTATCCTGTTTGTTCCCATCGTCCTGGGGGATTTCTTGTGTGTTCCAGACTCTTTCCTTGTTGACTCCTGTCTAAGTCCTTTGCTTGAAAACGTGTGTGTGTAAACCACTATTAAATCCATTAGTGGCTTGAGTTTGCTTTCCTTTTTTTATGCTGTGGTTTTTGTTTTTTTCCCCAGTGTTCTTGGATCAGACTGTGACTCTTCAGGCACTGATTTAAATGACCCTTTCCTTTGCTAATATGCGAGAGGTACCTGTGCCCCAACCTTTTGTGTGCCACTGATTTAACATGATACTTCACAATGTCCTTAGCCCAGTGTGTTCTGTGATTCCATGCAGGTTTCTGAAAGGTCTTTCTTCATTTTGTGGCACTTTGGCTTCTTTCCCCTTATGTGCTAGAATTCCAGTACTGCTTGGTGTCCTTTGTAGCAGTCTTCCCCATGTTTTCATTATTTTTGACTCCCATTTTCTTCTCCATGATCTCTCACGCTCTTTTGACACTTGCACCTTTTTCCTCTGGCATTCTTGTTGAGTTGGGAGGGATGTGACTGACTTAAACCCAGCCCTTGGGTCCTGATTCTCTCACCCTGTGACCTCCAGGCTTGTGACATGGCCACAGATGTGGCTGAGCCGGTGGTCCCTGACTGCAGAGGGGACGGCAGGAGCGGTGCCAGGTCAGACGCCGATTACCCCCTACGGGTCCTCTACTGTGGAGGCAAGTCCTGGGAGCTTCCTGGGTGTGAAAGGAGTGGGAGCACACATCTCTTCCTGCAGGAAGCCACTAAAGCCATCAGCACAGAAAAAAAGCCTCTGAGCATTAGTATGATAGCAAGAAATGGAATACATTAAATTGCTGTACTGTGTTTAGAAGCATTCTTTACTCATTCCATTTGTAGATATGTGGCTGAAATTTAAAAGGAAGTGGATAATCTTGACAGGTGTGTTTTTAGATAGGAATGTCATTTTGCTTCAGGCTGGAATACATTTGCAGGGCAGTAGGAAACAGCCCTGTTGTGTGTGAAAGTCTGCACGGTTGGTTTGGGTGTCCCCTCTTTGGGAAATTGGAGCTCTTGGAGAAAGGAAAGCTGACCAAACCACCTGGTACTTTGTTCAGTGTCTCTTTTGCCTCAGGTAGAAGTGGTGTTTTGTTCTGTAGCTTTTCCCAACCTTGGGCATCTCCTTCCCTTCCCTGGCAGCTCTTGCTGTGATGGTTTTATCCTAATGCAGAGCGTGTGAGCACAGGTCTAGTGAGAGAGGAATTAAAATGTAGAGTGGCAACAACAAAGAAATGTTTTTGAGTTAGTTTGTGGTTATAACCAGAAGTTATATAAGAACTCATCCCTGACTTTAAATCACCATTTGGAATTTAATTACTAACCCTGTAAGTAAAAAGGTAAAAAGTAAAAAATTCCTTTTGTAATCTGTTCTTTCTTTTCCCCCTTCTTTCTCCAGTCTGTTCATTGCCAACAGAGGTGAGTTAGTTTTTTGTTGTCCAAATTTCCTTGTATGCTATTATGCCCTATTTTGGTGTATCTGTGATGTATTTTGTCATTCCTCCACTAACAACATTCATATGGCTTTTCTCCAGTACTGTGAATACATGCCTGATGTGACTAAATGCAGACAATGGTTAGAAAAGAATTTTCCAGATGAGTTTGCAAAACTTACAGTAGGTAAGAGTCTTTTCTATTTTCTAACTGATATATGTCCTTGGACGTATTTAGAAATATATGACCTTGCCCATTTCTTATCTCTTTCCTTTTCCTGCTGTATCATGTGAAAGTTAATGCTTTGGATGCTGAGAAATAGGTTTAACAATGTCAGAAAATGCTACATCATCACTGTGTAGTTTAATTAATAATATTTGGACTTTTTTATGGTTCCTGCCATAAATAGTTATCCATGCACTTGTTTTCTATCTGAGTTAGTTTATTGGATTTTATGTCTGTCCAGTCTACAGTGGATGAGGAAAAGTCATTAATTATGTGGAACTTACTTGTTTGCACTTGGAATTTCAATATTAACATTATCATAAATTTCTGTCTCTCTGTGCAAGAGCCTTTATTGAAATTGTCACTGTAGCTTTGAGCTGAGGCTTTTCTGAAGTCTAATGTGCATAAATACTGTAATGAAAATGTAAAATGCATCAGTCAAAAGGCTGATGCACCTCAGCATAGTTTACTGATTTAGCAAAACATCACTGTACCTTCCTTTATGTTCCTTTAAGGCTGTGGATGTTTGACCACTGATTTTGGGATTTTTTTTCTCCTCTCTCCTTTCTGCTGCATTTAAGAAAATTCACCTAAACAGGAAGCTGGGGTTGGAGAAGGCCAAGGAAATGTGGGAGGAGGAGAAGAAGAGGAGAAGAAGAAGCAAAAGAGAGGCAAGGTCTAAATAGATGATTGTGGTACTGATTTAAAAACTGTGTGGGGCATCCCTTTCTCAGCACAAATTCCTTGCCTTTTGGTGGTTAGCTCTGCACAGAACATTGGAATATCTTCCTCCTTGTGTTCTGTGCCAATGGAAATGTTAGAGAGGAGGGACAGGCAGGGAAAGGTGACCTGCATCCTGTGCCCCATTGTTCCTGTCACCGCTGGCACGTTCAGGGAGCGATTCCTCCGGACCTGAAATCAGCTGGCGTTTCTCCTGGAATGCTCTGCCCTGTTGAGCAGCACTTTATGGGCTGCTTGAAGAGTGGAACAAAGGCTACTTCCCTCTGTTAATGCCTCATAACTCTGCTTTTGCCTTTATTCCTTCCACTACTCTGAATTCACGGAATAGGATTTGGTTTTATGCTTTTAAATCTATAACCTGTGTCTCCATTAGCAGCTGTGTCTCTTCCCAGCAGTATGAATGAAAAACATTTTCAAAACCCAACTTTGGAAGATATAAATTTATGTGGAACAATTTAAACACACTTTTATCTTTGATCATTGGAGCTCTTTCTGCTGAATCAATTAACATATTTTCCACCATAAATCAGAGTGCTGGAGCTGTTAATATGCATTTACTTGTGCAGTGTCAGTTGTGTGCAATGCTCCAGAAATTATGGTTAATACCCAGTAAGGTTCATATTTTATGCCACATATATTTTTACTTTATTTCTGGTATCTTGGTAACCAGTTTAATTTACCTTCTCAGCAGGCAATGACTAGTGACAACAGTAATTCATGTTCTGTAACTTGGATGCTTTCCCCAGAGATTTCAGGACATTTATTTCAACATTAATTTGTTTTGAGGGGTGGTGTGATTAGTTTTCAGTCTGGTTTTTAGTTCTAAAATAATAGTGTTTAAAATATTTAGTGTTTTTCTCCTAGAATCTAAAGTTTCATGAAAATTTACAGTATAGTGTTAAGTAGGATGGTGTAAGAGTGTGAAGGAAAACTGGCATAAACTTCCTAAAACACTGCAGAAACTCACTGAAGAAAATTTAAGGCAGAAATTTACTGTCTTAAAATTTTCAGACACGAGTATCAGACACCAATTTATAATAAAAAAGAACTGAAAGTGCTGCATGTTAGAAACAAAAACAGTCACAGGGATTGGTTTACTTGTCATAAATTCTTTAGATTTTCATACTGAGAAGGCTCAGAAACATGAAACTTTGGTTACCCTGGAATAACTTGAGGACTGTACACGAAATTAGCCGAGATCTTAATCTGGCTTGAAGAATCCTAATGAGTGGAATGTATCTTTTGCATGTTTTACTCCAAATCAGCAATGCCTGACATGGGGAGTGTTCCCACAGGCTGGCCTAGGAGCAGGCAGTGGAAAGGTGGTGTTAAATGATGTGGAATTGGGCTGCTGTGACTGGCTGCTGTCAGAGCTCTGGGGTTTGCTGCTGGCTCACATATCCCTGTCTGGTTCACTGGGGGGTCATGCACAGGTGTCCAGAACTTGATCTGCTCTTTAACTCAGCAGCCTGAGGAAAGCAAGACCTTGTGGTCTCAGGAAATGGGCATGAGCAGCTTGCTTTGCCTCAGACACAAACCCTGAGGATGTTAAAAGAGTTGTGGAAAATATCAAAAATTTATTTCTAGGACTATGCCTAAAGAACGATGTAAATGTAGAGCAAACACAGTGATGGTAAAGTGTGGGGAAAAGCCCTTTTTTTGCTGATTGTAGTGGGGGTCTGCTGTGCAGCTGGTGCTTGAATGCACATTTGACATGTATATATTGTTATTTCCCATAATACTGGACTTTGATGACATCTTTCTTAAATAATAGTAAACCTCAGACAATGTGCAAAATACATTTTACCAGCAGTGTTGGGGAGGTAACAGTTTCTTTGTTTATAGGGGCAAAATCTTGTATGCTTTTTCCTTTGATGAACTATGACATAATTTAATTATTCATGTAACCTTATGCTCTGCTTTAAAGGTGGAAGAGGTCAGATAAAACAGAAGAAGAAGACTGTACCACAGAAAGTTACAATAGCTAAAATTCCCAGAGCAAAGAAAAAATACGTCACCAGAGTGTGTGGCCTTGCCACATTTGGTGAGTTTGGGTTTTCCTGGTATTGGATGTGCCTGCCTTTAACCTCATGATATTTCTTCTGGTTGTGCTCCACTGGGGAATCTGCTTCCAGCTGTGAGATGAAAGTCCCAAGATGCTTTTAGCACTTCTAAAGCATGTCAAAGGTGCACTGACTTCCCACAGGGATAAATTATTAAGGTGCTTTTATTGCCATGATTTTTCAAACAAAGAGGGCTACAGGCTTTTTTAAACAGAACATATAGAGGACATTCAGCAATTTCTGCCCTTGAATCATTTGTAGATCTGTAGAGTCAGATATTTTGGGTGTAAACAACAGACTTGGCTTTCAATGGAAACTCTAGAAAAGCTTCAACTGAAAAGTGTCACTACTTTTCCAAGTCAAAACAAGATTTTGGCTTTAATCTTGAGAAAATATCTTTCTGACAACAACTCTACTTAACTTGTCCATTTTCCCCTTGGCAGAAATCGATCTTAAGGAAGCACAAAGGTTTTTTGCTCAGAAATTTTCCTGCGGTGCCTCAGTAACAGGAGAAGATGAAATCATCATTCAGGGGGACTTTACAGATGACATTATCGATGTAATCCAGGAGAAGTGGCCTGAGGTAATAAACCCTTCTTTCTGTCAGGAGGACACACACTTTTCCACACCAGCCTGTGATTTTCCAATGGTTTTGGAAAAGGGTTTCATCTTTGGCAGCACAGATTGGTGCACAAAAATAAAAGAGCAGTTGTTGCATTCCCACCCTGCAGAGGGGAAGGCATGTCAGAATAAATCCAGCTGTCAAATATCTGTGGCTTCTTTGTGACCATTTCTTAACAGTGAGTGTCTATGTATTCTTACACTGCCATCCTGTTTTTCAGCACCTCTTAAAATATTGCAAAATTAAAACAAACAAAGAAGCCCCAAGCCCCACACATTTGTGCTTTAGAAGAGATCAGCTAGTGTGGGTTGGACTGAAATTTAAGGCTGAGTGCTGTAATTGCAAGGGCTTTCTCTGACTCTCCCTTGTCCTGGTATTTCCCAAGTGGAATTCTTTTGGTTTAACTCCATAGGCCTGTCTTTATTCCCAGCCCTGCAGGCTCAGCTGTGTCCTGTTAGCACATGTCACTCACACAGGATTTACAGCTGGGGATCTGGAATGGTGCTGCTCGCTTCTCCCACTCTTCACTACATTTACAGGGGTGCACACTGAAGGAGGCATGTACAAATTAAATACTTAATTTGCTGTGTTTTGGCTTTTTCTCCCTAGGTGGATGATGACAGCATTGAAGATCTTGGAGAAGTCAAGAAGTGATAGTGGAAGACTACCTTTATTTAATTATATGGTTATAAATGATAGAGCAAAAGTGAGGCTTCTAAATCCATTTGCTCTGCAGTGAAACTGTGGAGAACCTGTATCCTTGGCATTCTCACTGTTCTGTATAGGCTGCTGGTTTTTTTTTGTTTTGGGTTTTTTTTTGTGATATTTGCCAAAGTTAAATTGGGGTTCTACCATGCCTACGCATGAAGTAGATTTAAATAAAATTACTGTTCCTCACTGAATAGTTTCTGAAGTTTTTTACATCTACTTTCCTCTACCTATCTTAAAGGAAAACAAGAATTTAAAGCATTAAAAGTTTATGTTTCATCTGCTGTCCTTTCTGCTGAGCTTAAATGAATAAGGCATGTGGCTGATGTTAGCACTTTCACCTCTCATTTACCTGCAGAGAATTTTAGAAATCAGAATGGAGCAAACATTCTAAAGATTTGTTAGCAATGGAAGAAAAATGAATCCTGAAGTGGTCATTCTACATCCTTGCCAACTGAATTATTTTATCAAGTGGAAACACGGAGAAATATGTGAATATGACTTAGAAATTTATTCTATTTTCATAATTCCAAAGATCTCCTAATCCTGCTGGGCTTCTAGGTGAGGCAATATTGCTGCTCATTCAAGAATGGTAGTAATGAATACAAATTAATAGCACTGTTCCACAGTCCATGTCAGCAGGTGGGGTGGGGTGCCAGGTCTGCTGTCTGTACTCCCACAAACAGCCTCGAGCATTGATTTGATGATTTTTGTTTCACTGTTCCATTTAATAACAATAAATGCTCCCTGGTGGCAGAGTCCTGGAAGTGATCTGCTCCTGTCACTGCAGAGCCTCGGTGAGCTGAAAGCCAAGGGGTTGATGTGTCAGACGCTCTGTGCTCTTCCTGTAAAGTTGCTTTTTTCAGTGATTTCTATTTATAAATCATGAGTATATCTGAGAGATAACTTCATCCCTATCGTTGGAAATACTGTATCCCAAGAGCTGCCTGCATCTCTATAGTCCTCCCGTTTAATGCTGGACGGGGAAGTTGCCTCCAACCCTTAACATCCGTATTAACAACGTTATTAATTATCACATTTTTATTGCAGCTCCAGCCCCGCAGCAGAGCCCCGGGGTGAGGCGGGATTCGAACCCGCGGTCCCTTCGCTGCGGGGGGCGGAGCTTCCTCCAACGGCGGGCGGTGCCGGTGGGTCGGGGGCGGCCGGGGGT